TTGCTTGTAGTGATACCTTCAAGTGCAGTTTGTTCATGGTTTATGGTTAAACTTGTTTAATTCTCTCTCTGTTTTGTCTCCCCAAGAGACTTATTTTGTTATTTTTCTCTATGATTACAAAAACATAGTCTCATTATATGTACAGAAGCAAGTGAATTAAAGATTATTTAGTCATCCAAAAAGTCATATAAACCTTCAAGAAAGTTTAAAGCTGCAGCGTTCTTTACAACGAGGTGAACCAATCATAAAGATAAACTTGCAGGGTTATGTAGATATATTTCAACCCAACAAATGCAAATGCTCTGAGCAGGGCCTGGATGGCCTAGCGGTAACCATCACCCACGGAAGCTCAGTGTCTCCCCTGCGACAACATAGTATAATCACTTCAAAGAGAGTGACGAGTCCGGCGTTCGAATCCTGGCAGACCCAACCCCTGGCCGCTACCACTTCCGATCTTGGACAACTACACACTACCCCATTTTCACTTTCAAACCCTTTATTAGTTGTCCCCTTTATAAAAACCCCCAATTTCACTTTCAACACCCGTTACCCAATTTGAATCAGCCTGAAAAATGGTTGTAACCAATCTGTCCTCCAACTATAAAAATCCTTAAGTAGATGAAACTGTCTCTTACACTCCCGCATCCTCTACAGAACTTGCCCCCATAGACCAAGTACAGGAAAAACCATGCTACAAACATACAAAAAGCTTGTAGGTAGAAATAATGATATTCATAGTGTGCAATGCCAAAGGCCAAACTTACACTTTTTTAAAATAAAAAAAAAAAGCTCTGAGCTTATATTATGTGGGTATACAGCTGGGTCTGAAACTATATATTTATATACACTCAATTGAAAGATCTCAACAATTGTCACTACACAGTTGACTTTCTTTAAACATTGACTGATCATCCAGACCTCGGAGCCCCAGGCATGAAGTTATACATGTGAGTAGATCGAGTAGTAGCTGTTGGGCGGCTTGCAGGCTGTGACCATTGATGTTTGCACTGCCGGAATAGTAGAGGAGTACCGCCGTTCTTCTTGATTGGGATGTTCATGTGGAAGACCTGCCCACATTCTTTCCTGCTGCATTCCTGGACCTTCTTCTGGCGTAGGTATGTACAAGCTACACTAGTGGGGTCTTTCTTATCGTACTGACCGCATTTTTCTTCAACCTCTCCAATCAGGTGACCAGTCCGATGCCCACAGCCTTCACACAAGACTGGGTCCACGGCGATGGAGATGCCGGTGAGGACTAGAGCTAGTGCAAGGATGTGGATGAGCTTCATGTTTCAAGTTCTGATGTTTCGACGAGCCGAGATTGATGACTGCGGTAAGAGTCGAACTTGGGTTGTCTGTTGTGTTTGATGGTCGTTAGTTGATCAATTGTTATAGCGACGGGGTTCGCTGACCGTTGTCCTAAGTAAAGGATACTGGAGCCGGTCGACTTTGCCAATCTCTGCCAGTCCCGTCGATGGCCACCGCCGGCGCCAGGCCAGCAGCCACTCGCCGAGCGGCATAGCTTACATAAGCCTCTGCGCCGGCGCCACCGCCTCTTCGGGGCTTTTGGTAACTTCGCAGCCACACCGAACAAACGGTCAACACCACCAACCAGACACCGAGGACTATCAATCTCCACTGAGAACCATAGAAATCGACAACCGACCAGATCAGCTCATCAAGAGCGGAGGCAGACGAGTACCACCACCACTATCCAACAACTCATACGACAACCGACTCTGCCGGACTGCTCCAAAACCCTTTCCTCCATGACCCCGCGTACATCAAACGATATCGGCACCCATCCCGGCATGGCAGCTACGAGATCCCAGACCACCATCATCCATACAACTTCCGCATCCGTCCTACCGCCACCCAACAGTCGCCTTCTGTCTCGATCTCCTCACCCGCAAGGAGGGCCCGACTGAGCATCGAACAGTCCTACATAGCTCTCCCCCTCCACCCGTCACCACCATCTTCCGAGCATCCATACAGATCCGCTGGAAAGCAGCAACCGTCGTCCCGATAATCTGGCGCTCTGTTTCCCAGGCTCTAGCTCTCAATATATCGGCATGGGCTCCGTTCCACTCAACGATAAAGAATTCAATCTGGTCTGGAATGAAGCCCTCGATCATCCTAGCCTCCTTCGAACAATGGATGAAATCACTCAACCTCCTCGACCATTTCCTCTCCCTTGGGTACTCCCCTCAACACGCCGCTCTCCTCGGCGATCCCCCTCCCCCTTCTCCTACTCCTAACCAACCAAACCTACGCGATATCGTCCTACATGCCCCTCAAAACGAACACAGTTATAGATGCTACAATGCTCAGCCTGCTATTCCAATCACCAGTATGGCTTATCTAAGCACATTAGAGGTATATCTATATATCTATATATGTGTATATTTACATAAAAAAAACAGATACTGATGAAATATATTTGAATATTTATAAGTCGAAGGCAAGGTTCCAGTGAGGAAGATGGCAAAAGTACATGCGGGACATTCGTCGGGCGAATACACAGCCTGTGTGGCCTCGAACGCGATCGATTTCAAGAGCGGGATCTATCTGACACGATTATATGGATTATTGAGCGAACGATCGATGCGCTTAGCTGGACTACCACCCTCAACAACTACACCTAAACTCAAAACAACAACATTATCATCATCATCATCCTCAAATCAACAGAAGAAGAAGAAGGGAAAGGACGAGGGATGAAAGCTCAGATGTCTGCGTTATTGATTAACGAGAAATACCAGGCTTCATTAGGCCAAAAGACGTATGATTATCGAGAATTAATCGGCCTAATCGACCGGCCTAATGCCCTTTATGTGCCTGATAACGTTTATGATGATCGGAAGAGGATGGCGAGCAAGAGAACATCTTTGGGGGTTCAAATAGGGGGCTGGAGCTCGAGCAATCAGATCGTTCTTTCGGGTTCCCGAGCAGGAGTCTTAGCCGCATGCGGATACCTCAACGAACTGGAGATCGCCAATCGAGCTGCCGACTTACCTTGCTCGTAAGTCTCTCTCTCTCTCCGTTTCCCCCCTTTTTTTGTTCCCCCCATTCATCCCATATATACGTAAGAGAGAAAGAATCGGAGAGAGAGAGAGAGATTTTATGCGCGTGGAAAGGTCTCCGTTTCATAGTCACACTTCATGAGTCCAGCGGCCGAAGGAATGAAACTCGGAGTCAATGCGGTCCGGTTCGCTGTCCCAGCCCGATCTTAGTTACCCGAAACAGTTCCCTCTCCTCCCCCTCCACTTCGACTTCCAGTTTCTCCTTGGGATCCACAGGGTCTACATGAGAGAGACGGAAGAGAAGAAAGACAGACTCGGGCGAGGCGGTGATGCAGACCGCTTACATCAGCACCCTTAATGAAGACCTCGAAAGCCTTAAAACTCAGTTCTCTGATTCGATTTGTAGACCCGTTTGGTGGGCGGAAACGGTTAAGGAACTTCTCCTCCTCCATTTTCATCCTTCATCTTCATCTGCTTCTGCTTCTTCAACCTTATATGTAGTCAGATTTGAGTGGAGATTTGAAAGAGGCTGAGCTTTCTCGGTCTCAGCTTCAGTTGCTTTTCGTCGGCCCGGGAAAAGCTCTCTCGAACCTCTGTAAAAAAACAGATCGCTTTTAATACCCTTCATCCTCCTACTCTTACCACTCCTACCACTCCTACTACTCCTACTACTCCTTCTTCTTCTAACAATCTGAAAGCTTCTCCTCCAAAGTCATTGCGCGTAGCTTGGCTACTGTTGATGAATTCAACGCTTTCAAAGTTTCTAATTAACTTTTTCTCCCTTTTTTTTCTTTTCTTCTCTATTTATATCTTTTCTTTTTTTTTTTTTTCTCTTTTGTTTCTTTAATCAGTGATTTACTCTACTCTTCTTTTTTCTCATGTTGTATCTCCCTGTTGCAGGAAATTATCATTTGCCTTTCTTTCCTTTTCTCTTCTCTTCTCTCATTTACTTTCTTTTGATTGTATTTATCGCTCATTCTGATTGTTCATTTTCATTGTAAAATCTATATGTTGATAACAGCAATAGGACGGTTCACGTCTGAACTTTGGAGCAAGGTTTATAGCATTTATCATTAAAATTTTCCAAGTTTGTCAAAAATCTCAAATTCCTCCAAACCTGATGATTCATGAGATTTGTACGGAAGCCCATAGGGGACTCCAATCGGCTCACGCTTTTGAAAAATGAAAAGTGAAAAATGAAAATACAGAATTCTGTATTCCATTTAAAATACAGATATCTGTATTTCCACATTCTGAAATGTGAAAAAAAACTATGATTGATACGTGTCGGAAATGGATAATCACATATCGGAAACGTATAGTTGTCATCCCGGCCAACCAATACTGCATCGGCTCGGAAAGGTCCAACTTCCGGGGACCGGTCCTTCCGGGCGGATGCTGTTTCAAGACCTGCAAACAGGTTGTCTCCAAGGTGAGTCCACTTCCTTGAAGTTGAACCAGCCATTGAAGGCAGTTGACCAAGGTCCAAGTCTGACCGGCACTCAAAGGGAGTACACATGCATACAGCCGCCTTCATTGATCTCAGACTCGGTGATCAAAGGGAATTGTCACTCCCTTTAGATCACCGGTCAGAATCTGTCATTGAAGGCAGTGTGTAAGCCCCTCAATGACAGATTCTGACCGGTCATTGGTGGTCATCCAGCGGAGTGCATACCAGTCCCCTCCCTTCGAGGAGCGGTCTGTGGTGTGTTTCCTGTTGACGAGCCGTTCAGAACCGGCCATCAAATGGAATGAGTAATCCTGTTGATGACCGTTTCTGCGATGACCGTTCAGAGCTGGGCATCGAGGCGAGTAGGTATTCCCCTTCATGACCAGTTCTGAGCGTTCATGGTGGGGAGCACTTACGTGTCTCAATGACCAGTTCTGAACGGTCATCGAGAGGAGTGGATATGTACTCCTCTCAACGACTAGTTCTGACCAGTCATCAAGGGAGTGCTCATTCGCTTCGATAACTGGATGACCGGTCATCTCTGATTAGTCGGAGACTGAAGTGGACACTCCTTTACCATCTGACAGCAGGTCATTCTGTACCGATCAACCAGCACCGGTCCAGGAGGCGTTAACCTCCCAGGCCGGCCTGTGCTGGGCTGATCGTTGACTCTTGTGTTGACATTTTCTATGTGCTGTTTTCGTTATGCACTTCTGATTTGGCTTAACCGATAGTGATGTTTCACATTTTAGAATGTGGAAATACAGAAATCTGTATTTTAAATGGAATACAGAATTCTGTATTTTCATTTTTCACTTTTCATTTTTCAAAAGCGTGAGCCGATTGGAGTCCCCTATGGGCTTCCGTAGATTTGACAAAATTTGTAAAATTTTATCCATAAAGGTGCTAAAAGTTGCCTTGAACTTCAGACGTGAACTGGCCTAATGGGTCGCTTTTTTTGGTTCTTTGTATGCATGTTTTTTTTATGTTTCAATTCTCTCGTGTTTGTATGTATGTAGACTAGTCTCTCTCATGAACAGTTGTTTAAAATTATGAAACTTTTTGATCATTTTACATATTAGGCCGGTTCACGTCTGGAGTTTAAGGCCACTTTTAACACACTTGAAGAGAAAATTTTATGAATTTTGTAAAATTTCATGAAACATCAAGCTCAGAGGAATTTGAGATTTCTGATAAATTTGTAAAATTTTAATGATAAATGTCATTAAATTTGCCTCAAAACTCAGACGTGAACTGTCCTATTGAATCAATCAAAACAAACTATAGTTAAGTCAGCCACCTGATCGGGTCCCAGCAACACCCTCATGACCCGGCGCACCTCACCTTAACTACCCGAGCGGCCCCTCGGCTACCGACATCCCTCCCAACGGCCAACCAAGCTCAGTCAACTTGGATCAGCCTTGACTCTCTTGTCAAGCTGTCTACTGGCCATCATCAACAGCCCGTCCCTACCCTGTCATACCCCAGCCCAACTCATCCAAGTCAACAGGGCATGAGTTCTCACAACCTGAACTAGAAGTTCAATTCAATCACAAAACCCATCGTCGGCCTGGTTTTCTTCCCCTCGCCCAACAAAACAATCAATACCCAAAAGCTTCATAATACCCTCTCAACTCGTTACTCGCTCGGCTACAGCATTTGGGTACCTTAGCATTGTCCGAAATGGCACCGCCACCTCAAAGACGTACCAAGGCTGTCAAGAAAGGCATCCAATTTGTGGGTCTCTAGTTTGTCTCTCAAGAAGGCCTTGTATCTTGGTGCTAATCGAAAGTTTTCTTGCCACCTTAATGCTTGTCGGGATCTCCAGAACCTGATGGTAGGTCATCAAAGCTACAAGCAATATACACAGATTTGTGGTAATCAATGATCTATATATTCCCATTTTATCGTGATAAATATCCAGGTCGTAGGTGCAGCAGGCACCGGTCGCACCACTTTTGTCAACACCCTCGTAGAACGTAAAGACTGGCTACAGCACACGGATCACACTGATCCGGCCGTTGCACATGGTCAGTCGATCAAACCGAAAATCCACATCACGTCTTCAAAGTCCACATATCTATTTAAATACTTACTAATTAATTTATTTCATTCGACAGAAAGCCGCGCATTTATTGAGATCCACAAGCAAACGATCGAACTGGAACAGGGGAGTATTCCCGTGCGTTTGACGGTCTGTGACACCCCAGGATTTGGAGATAATATCGACAACGAGTCGGCGTTTTCGGCGATTTCCGACTACCTAGAGAAACAATACGACGATCTATTAGCTGAAGAATCGCGCATCAAACGGAACGCCAGACTCGAAGATAGTCGGGTACATGCATTGCTCTACTTCATCACTCCCACTGGCCATAGGTTAGCCCTTTCCCTTACCATCGTTATCCAGCCGCTTCTCTCTGCTTATTTATGTTCACCTCTCTGGCTTTTATGACCAGCTTGAGGGAAATGGATATTGAGTTGATGAAACGACTCTCCCCTCGGGTTAACGTGATTCCAGTCATCGGCAAGGCTGATAGCTTCACTCCCAGCGAATTGAAGGGCTTCAAAGAAAGGGTTGGTTACACTGCTTCATCCTCGTATTCGTACAGATGACTGATTCTAGCAAATTCTGTGAACCTGGTTTCTCGCACAGGTCATGCAAGACATTGAGCACTATGAAATCCCAATCTACAATTTTCCCTTTGACCCGGAAGAAGACGATGATGAAGTGATTGCTCAAAACTCGGAATTGAGGGTCAGTCTCAGTCCTTACTTAGCTCAAGAAGCCATCTGAATCGGTGCATTTGACATGAGTTGTATGCGTGTGTGTACTCTTTAGGCCATCTTACCATTTGCTATCGTGGGATCAGAAGATGAAATCGAAGTTGGTGGCAGAATGATCCGAGCAAGAAAGTATCCATGGGGAATCATCGAGATCGATAACCCAGCCCACACCGATTTTCTGAAATTAAAGAACACATTGCTAGCAACCCATTTGACTGACCTCAAGGAAATTACCCACGATGTATGTTGAATCGCTTCATTAAGTCTACTTTCAAGTTGAATAAGTTTAACTGATCATCAATTTTTAAATTCATTGACCATCCTTACAACACGTATGTATAGTTCCTGTATGAGAACTACAGAGAGCAAGCCTTGAGTCGAGGGAATCACAGTCAAGCAGTTGACCAGCCGATCCCCTCGGTCGATCTTGCCAACCGGGCCTTCAAAGTCAAAGAGGACCAGTTAAGGAAGGAAGCCGAGAAGTTGAAAGAGATCGAGCTACGTGTGCAGCGAGAAATGAGCGAGAAGCGTCAAGAGCTGATCGCCAAAGAAGAGAGTCTTCGGAGTATGGAGGTATGGACCTGGCTTACCACTCCTAGAGATGTACATTATCTGACTACCTCTTACCCCCGTCTCATTTAGGCTCGTTTGGCTCAAAGCATGGGCGAGAGTCCCAGACGATCTAATTGAATATAAAAGAATCAAATACCTTTTGATCGATCTTAGGATTCTCTTGATTCCCTCCTTCAGATTTCCATATGATTCTCTCATGGCCTCTGCATTTCATTCAATGTTGCTTTCATATAGTCGTTCTTACTTAACCAAGGATTGTCATTATACCTCTCATCTTACATACCTTCCCATGAAGCACTTCTTTCCTTTCATCTCACTTTTTTGCAATTGTTCCATCTCCTTGATCTCGTTCTTTGTTTGACTCCATTGTAAAAAGTAGTTGGTTTCCGGAATCAGTTGGAAGGGCTTATTTTTTGTTGTAGTTGTCATCTTCCCTGGATTGTTTTTTTCCCTTTTTCACACATACATCACAGTTTGCTTGTGTTATTGCCTCACGAAAGATGTAGGAATTGTTCTCTGGTTGTTGTTTATATCTAGTACTTGGACATTGGAATCATGGTAAATAGTCTGCATACCAAAATCCATGTTTGATTCATCTAAAGTTAAGCAGGAGGAAACTTGGATTGTGTTCAAGTGTTGAGCTCCAGATCAGCAAACAGGCTCGTGAAAGAGAGTAAGAACGGGAAAGAAAGAGGATGAGAAACAAAGCCTGGACTAACGGGAGTTCATCTGACTGCTTTGTAACCCTGCAGGTGGGTGATGAGGTTTGTCAGGGTTTGTCCCGGGGTAAGTGAATTTTACAAACTATTTTTTACAAGACATATGTCTTGTAAACCGGATAGTTTGTAAAATTACATTTTTATGGGGGTAATGTATAATTTTACAACCCATCTGTGATTTTCAAAGGTTGTAAAAAATGGTTTGTAAAATATGTTTGTTAAAATTGTATCACAACATTGGATTATGTAATTTTACAAACTATATCATGCAAGTCTTGCATGACAAGGTTGTAAAGTTGTATAACAAACCTTAAATTTAGAATTTTACATGACATTTGCTTGCAAACCATAATGTCTTGTGAAACTAAGTATGTAAAAAACCTTATTAATACCCTGTAATATAATTTTACAACACATAATTTACAATCTACCCACCAAACAAGGTTAAACTCTCACCATGCAAGATGATTTCAATTGAATCTCCCACAGTCGCCAAGATCAAGCTTCCAACGTGAAACCTTGTTTTCTGAAATTTTTGAGAAAAGGTAAACTATTACCATTATCTGTCACAGATTTTCAAAGCTGTGAAATCCGTGTGACATGTCCCAAATCTCCCACACTGTGAAACCTTTTTTTCTCAAACTTTTGGGAGGGTATACTATTAAAATAATATGTCATGGATTTTTAAATCTGTGAAACCCTTGTGACTTGTCTGACCATTTTGCAAACCTGTGACATTTTTGATTTTCTGGAAGTTTCAGCCTACTTTATGGACCCCCCTCCAGCTCAGGTCAAGGGCCACCCTGGTCAATGCTCAACAGATTAATTGGCCTCCCAGTTCTATCACCAGTGTCAAAGAAAACATGAGCTAGCTCCTTTGTTTGCGCAATTGAAAACCTTGGGAGTAAGAGTATGTTGAGAAGGAGATTCAGAAGATAGTTGAAGAAATTCCAGGTACATCTGGAAACATCCCTTTCAAGGAGATGAAGTCAATCTTGACCAAATAAAACAGTTTGAATTTGATTCCCCACAAGGCCAAAGACAAAGATAAATCAACTCCTCCAACTACAGCTAAACTCCAGGCCAGAGAAAAATCACCCGCAACATCTATGAAATTGAAATGATTGTGTTCTATGTTTTATTCTGCAGGACTGTTGGAACTTCCTCTTCCTTTTATTCTTTTTACGGCGGGGTTTTTTTTTCTTTTTGATTTTCTTTTTATTTTTGTTCAGGCTGTGTCTTTCTCCTTTTTTTTTAATTCCTTTTTGTTTTTGTGGAGGCTGTGTCTTCCTCTTTTTTCCCCTTTTGTTTTTGTTGAGGCTGTCTTTCTCTTTTTTCTTTTGATTTCCTTTTTTATTTTTTGAGGCTGTGTCTCTCTTTTTTTTGATTTCCTTTGATTTTGGTGTTTATTTTTGTGGAGGCTGTGTCTTTCATTTTTGATTTTTTTGAGGTTTCAAAACAATGTTTGCAAAATTCAATTTTACATACTATCTGTTACAATTTTGCAACACATAAATCACAACTCATTTAAGGGTTGCACACTAATGATTGCAAATTTCCTTGAAGGAAGGCAAAAAGGTTGCAAAATATGGTTTGTAAAATTCAATTTTACATACCTTGCTGTGCAATTTTGCAAAACATAATTTACAACTCATAGATGGGTTGCAAACTAATGGTTGCAAAATTCCTTGAAATAAGGCAAAAATGTACTTTTGCAAATCATATTGTTTGCAAGACATAAGGGTTGCAACATATGTGCCTTAAAATTCTACTCCATGGGGCATGGGTTGCAATTTTAAGGCACATATTTTGCAACCCTTTTTTTTGCAACCCATATTTTTTGGTGATGGTTTGTAAAATTATACATTACCCCCACAAAAATGTAATTTTACAAACCATCTGATTTACAGCTATTTCGGAAAAGCTTGTCCTTCCGTGACTTTTTTTTTTTTTTTTTTGCAATTTTTTTTTTTTTTTTTTTTTTTTTTTTTAATTTTCTTGCTTCGTTGTATGTAGATACAATTTCAAATATGCAAATACACAAACACATATTTCAAATGCTGTCAGCTCAGTTCTCATGCTCATGCCCGGCATGTTCATGGCCGGTCGGTCCAATCCCGGCCGGCTTCACCACCCACCAGGCAATCCATCCATCCCATCCTTCCAGGTTCCGTCACCGCCGATCCATTACCACCAGCCGATCCATTCCTTCCAGCATCAAGAAATGAATTTCGATTTGGATGTCCTTGATCCAGCCCTCGATGCGGCCCAAACTCATGACTCTACACTGGCATCCTTGCAGCAATCCCCATACAACGGCGACCTATTCCTGGAGGACGACGAAGATGATCTATCTCAGTCTGGAGTCGATTCAAGCAAAAACACACCGGCGGTTTCGGGAAGGCAGGCTTCGGGTAGAGGGCGCAAGAAGGCTAAAGCGACCAAGAAATCGATTTCAGAGCCGACACTCCACATCTCGTTGGACTATTGCCTCTACGTCAACGTCCACAACCCGCACATTTCCGTGAAGCAACGTGCGGCGTCCACAAAGAGCGATTGGGACAAGATTGTACCCAGCAAAGACGACTTGCCATACTTGAACACTAATCTTATGCATAGACAGTGGGACGAACTGCGGGACGAAATTCTTCGGATCATTGGGAATAGCCAACGGAATCTCGATGTCTTCCTTGATCAAGTCAGGAAGACAGACAATTTGAAATTTCATTTGTACATTTCCAACAGCCACATATTTCCCTTCAGACGCGCATACTACTGTTCGTCCGATGAAGAACTCCGGCCATTTGCTGAGGAAGTCGTTAAAAAACCGCTCCAGAAGGTCTTTATCCGAGTTATAATGGATGACCCGTCGGCACAGGAGAAGTCGGATGTAGCAAAAGAGAAATCTGATAAACAGGTATGTAGTTGACAAGGCTTAGTTGATTTGGATCTTGTTTAATTTTGACTGATTTTCTTTTCATGTGACCAATGATAGAAAAAGAAGGTGGAAAAGATTCTCGCAATAGCGGTCGGACCTGATAAAGAGCGTGTCCCACTACAACGAGAGCAAGCTCGTCAACTACAGAATGTGAGTGCTTGTACTAGTTTGTTTGATTCCGTGTGTTGGAGATCTGATTTCTTTTTGCAATTGATCATAGCCTCGCTCCGATGTCAGTGGGGACCCAATTGGACCTTGGGTGGTCCGACTTCGCCAGCATCTTGAGAAGAAGTCGAATGCGAAGCCTTCCGAGGTCATTTTCTGGCCCCACAAGGACGATCAAACTCTGGTGCTTCGGATTAATCATAATCGTTTATGGGCCTGGGCCAATGTGCTTGAGGCCAAATCATCAGGCCACATTACGGATGCAAACCGCCACGTTGACATGGACACGCCCCCAAACGGTTCGACTTTCCAGTGGGAGAGGAGATCTGTCATATCGCCTTTGAAACATCGCGCAGCACCGGGTAATTCTCATAAAAGGCTTGACGGGCGATTGTTGGTTGCGAATCAGGGTCAAACCGCCGCTTTACCCCGGCAAGTTGCTGGTTGTTCTACGGCCGACGGAAACGGGTTAAGGAGTCCTGCGAGCCGTGGCGAGACGTTAGATTCGGATGCTGAAGTCGAGGGTCGTGAGGAGCCACTTGATCTGTCGAACATCAGCATCGCAAATATAAATGATGTTGAAATAGTGTCCAAATGTTCAAGCAACTCAATTGAGTACATGAACGATGTGTCAATCGATTCCTCCAGATCGGTCAACCACTTGGACCAATCATCGGTCATTTCGGCCAGGCAATTGAGTTGTGAACATCCAAGGAAGATGGCCCGAAGCCCTTCAGGTTACCCTACATGCGATTTCAGGTGCATGTCGGTCCATCCGCGCGATTCATCTCCTTCTCAGTCTCCAACTCGGAAATCACGAAGCGAACCACGGTTACCCCTACTTCCAGCTGGCAAGCATCTAACCATGGACGAGTTTCTACAGCACTGCAACATCGAGGTTGATGACCCAATGTGCCAGATCTTAATCAAAGGCCATGATGTGAAGCACTGGTCTTTCTTTCGGGGCAAGTCCGACGAACAGTTAATGCGAATCGGGTTCACACGAGGGTTGGCCACTCATCTGAGTGATGGTGCGAGCGAGTTGGAGCTCACTATGGTTCAACAAGAATTCCCTGAACTCTAGCCGATTGGAACCCCTGTCTTCTTCTTTTCTGACTTTTTTTTACTCTGATTGGAACCCCTGTCTTCTTCTTTTCTGACTTTTTCTTTCTCTATATATATATCTATCGATACATAAGGAGCAAGTTTTTTTTTATCAAGTTAGGCCCAGGCCCATCCAAATTGGCCTCTTGTTTTTTTCTTGTTCCTTACGTGTGTCCTTTTCCTTATCGTTTTGTTACCGAGTTGTTTGATAACCAATCAGAAGGTCTGTTTTCTGCAATCAAGTCCTCTGTTTTCTGCAATCAAGTCCGTATGTCTTCCGAACTGGTCAAACCAAATTAGATAGCCCTTCTGTGAGAAAATCTTAGAGTTACATTCTTCATATTTCTCAAAAGTGCTGCATCAACAAAATTGTAATGCAGTTTGCGAATGCCAATGAATTGAAATTACTCAAAATGAGAGAAAGCAAACAAGTGTGAGGACAAACCGACGTCAAGAAAAGAGAAGAAAAATAAGAAGAAAACATCATGCTTGAGATTAAAAAAAAAGACTAAGAGAGAACAATATTCAGCCTAGGCGTAACCGCTGCTTGAGTACAACGATCGCATCAAACGGGGAGTTACAAATGTTGGGAGAAAATGCTTGATGATCTGTGCATCACCCCAATTTCCATTGAGTATCTGAGCTCGTTTAAGTCGGCTCTTTAGAACGGAAAAAACCTTTTCGATCGGATTAAAATCTGGAGAATAGGGTGGCAGATACATGAGGAGCACATGATGCTCTTCGCAGATCTCCCGGATCCTCCCACCGTGATGAATGCGGTGATTGTCCATCACCAAGACGCTGTTGCGGCCGGGATACGGATTCATACAAGGCATCTGATGTAAGCTCAACTGAACATGTCAGAGACCATAGACAACAATCATAATTGAAGAGCCAGAACGACTTACTAATACTTCCTCAAGGAAGTACTCAAAATCCAAGCGGGTCATTGAACCCGCTTGCGCTATTGAACACAATAAGCCATCAAGTGAGACAGCTGGCATAAGATTGATCCTGATTGCATCGTGTCGGCGAGGAATACGGGTCGTGCGACGTCCCTTCTGAGCCCACGCGTGAGTACGACGGTGTGTATCTTGCGATACCCCGGCTTCATCTAATCAAACCTCACATAAAAACTGTCAGCTAATTGTCTTCAGGTCACATCCAAAAGCACAAACTGCAACACACCTGTGAAAACGAGGAACTCCGACGGAATCTGCGCAATCAAGCAGATGTAATTGGCCCGCCGGATCGCCGATTGGGAGGGGTGAACTGTTGCCGCAACCTTCCTAGTAAGTTGTAATCGATGTCGGAGGTCATCATAAATTGTCGATAGGGGATGAAGAACACCAGTCATCGCCTCAATGTGCACTTGAATTTCGTCAAGGTACAAAGTTGGCTGGTGTTCAAGGACATCCAGAATAAACTAGCGCTCCTCGCTATTGATTGCCAGAGGCCGGCCGCGATCTTCGTATGTTGAAGGGTCCCTGACCACGTCGCGGGTGCGGATGTAAAGCGACATCCATCGATTCATGGTTTTCCGATGGATTTTGAAATCCAGATCATCGTTGATATCGGCTATGGAGCGGCGGGCCAACAACCAACGGACGACTAAGGCCTTAATTTGAGAGTCGTACCTGCACAACGGAGGAATGTTGGATTAGCAAGGGAATATTGTATTAGCGAGGAAAGCAACAGAAGCAAATAACCTACTGTACAAAAACCATGGCTTCTTGTGAAGGGTCGATCAGTTGATGGTTGAGCGGTTAGTCAAGATCGGTCGATGGTTGAGCGGTTAGTCAAATGGATGCTGGAACGATGGGATGGAATGGATTGGCCGGTGGTGTCGGAAGCTGGAAGGATTGCCTGGTGGGTGGTGAAGCCGGCCGGGATTGGACCGACCGGCCATGAACATGCCGGGCATGAGCATGAGAACTGAGCTGACAGCATTTGAAATATGTGTTTGTGTATTTGCATATTTGAAATTGTATCTACATACAACGAAGCAAGAAAATTAAAAAAAAAAAAAAAAAAAAAAAAAAAATTGCAAAAAAAAAAAAAAAAAAGTCACGGAAGGACAAGCTTTTCCGAAATAGCTGTACAAGACATATGTCTTGTAAAATATAGTTTGTAAAATTACAGCGACCCGTTTGTCCCTGGTGCGGGGGAATTAAAGCTTTTGGATGACTGGACGCATACATCCAGCTTGGTCGGTCTTCGGCGGCCTAACCCCGAAGTTCTCAAGCTGACCCACCGGGCCACCACCACCCTGAAAGCAGCTGAAAACCATAAACTTCTCTTGACCGTCATTCAACCCTAGAGAATCCTTACCCTCGGTCATCCTCGCCGATACCCTCTTAAGCTTGCTCGTTTCATCCACTTTATCATCGACATGCCACCACCACCCCACAGGCGTCAGAAATCGGTCAAGAAGGGCATCCAATTCGTTCGTCTTAATCTGACTTTTTTTCTCTTTTCCGCGGGTGATCGTTGAACTCATGCACAAATGACTCGCTTAAATATGTCTACATAGACCTTGATGGTATGTAGCTCATCAACATCTTTCATGGTTATCGTCTTGCAGAGAGGTAGATTATGTCCTTAATTTCATCTACTTACATAACCACCCCACCTTGATAGGTGGTCGGCGCATCAGGTTCTGGTCGCACCACTTTTGTCAACACCCTTGTAGAACAAAAGGGATGGTTGAATCATTCTGAACCGGTTGATGCCGCCAATGCCCATGGTCAGTCGATCAATCAGGCTCTTATTTACACTTGTTGTCCAGAACCAACATCAGGTTAATGTCATTCCCCCATTAAAAAACCCACTCACCTCTTAGAGCCACAGCCATTCATCAAAGTCCAAAAGCAGACTATCGAATTAGAACAAGACGGTATCCCCGTGCGCTTAACAGTCTGCGATACACCTGGATTCGGTGATAACATCGATAACGAATCGGCCTTCTCGACGATCTCGGATTATTTGGAAAAACAATGCCATGATATCTTGGGCGAGGAATCGCGAATCAAACGAAACGCCAGGCTCGAAGATAATCGAGTCCACGCTTTACTTTATTTCATTCCTCCCACAGGTCACAGGTGAGACTTGCTGCTACTTCATAATATCGAGTATCGTCTATGCATTGGCATTGACCTGACTGGATTCGCAGCTTGAGAGAAATGGACATCGAGTTAATGAAGCGACTATCCCCACTGGTGAACGTCATTCCCGTTATTGGTAAGGCTGACAGCCTTACTGTTAGCGAATTAAAAGGGTTCAAAGAGCGGGTTGGTTATATTCCGGCTCTTTAGTACTTTTTTTTCAATTCTGCTTTTGGGGGTGGTGATTTGCTGATGAATACAACTCCTTGAACACGGCCAACCCAGATTATGCAAGACATCGAACACTACGACATCCCCATTTACAACTTCCCCTTTGACCCGGAAGAGGATGACGATGAAGTAATTGCTGAAAACTCGGAGTTAAGAGTGTGTCTCAGCCCCCAATCGTTGTCTTGCATCTAAATAATGTCACAGAACCTCCTAATTCTGATTATCTGATTTCGTATGTGTTGTTCAGGCCTCATTGCCATTTGCACTTGTAGGGTCAGAGGAGGAAGTCGAAGTTGGCGGTGAAATGATCCGAGCGAGGAAGTACCCGTGGGGGATCGTCGAGATCGATAACCCGGCTCACACTGATTTCCTCAAGTTGAGGAACACTCTACTATCGACTCATTTGACTGATCTCAAGGAGATCACTGTTGATGTGAGCTCATCTGTTTCTCTACCGCATCTATACTCGCTTGAGGATGTTTCTTTTTTGCTGATCTTAATCTTGTGATTCTCAGTTCCTATACGAGAACTACCGAGAGAAAGCTTTAAGTCGAGGCACTCCACATGCAGCCGACGAGTCCATACCACCTGATGATATCGTCAATCGATCCTTCAAGCTCAAAGAGGAACAGTTAAGGAAAGAAGAAGAGAAGTTGAAGGAGATCGAACTCCGCGTTCAACGTGAGATCAGCGAGAAACGTCAAGAACTCTTGGCGAGAGAAGAAAGTCTTCGAAATATGGAGGTATGTTCCTACTGCAAAACAACAGTTCTTTTATGGACGGATGCCGTCTGACAATTTTTGTTCATCTAGGCTCGTTTGGCACAAAGTGCTAACGAGATTACTCCGAGATAAACAACATATTGAGATACCATATAAGCAGCCTTTACATTGATTGCTTTTATTTCCATGAAAATTCACACGTTTCACTCCACTTCATTTTTATCATCTTCTCGTTCTTCCCTCTTTCAAAGATTAAAATATCCAATTTACCAGCTATTTATTATCAAAACGGTACACATTCTGCTTAGGTGACCTCACAAATGATTGTCTTGTAGAATTCTTTCAGGAAATGATGGGTTGGCTTGTTCACTTTTTCTTCAATCGCTGGATCCCAATACCCATTGATAGCTTGCTTGAATTGTTTGTTCTTGGTCATCCCTATATTTCAAGGCTTGTTTTCTATTTATTTATCTATTCTTCTTCTTCTGGTGTTTTGCACTTCTAAGTCGTTGGGATCCATGTCCTGGACTCATTGTTAGGTTCATGCCATGAAATCCAATTAAATTATGGTCTATGTACATGCTACTGGAAACTGGACCATTCAGTCTTTATGGAGCAGGCAAGACACAAGCCAATGTCAGTTCAAAAGAAGAAGAAAAATGAGCTCCTATAACATGCCTCTGGAAAATTGTGATGGCCCTGCTCAAAGTTGTTTTGGGTCCTAAATCAACATCCGTCCCTAAATTGGGTCCGTATGTGCAATTTATGGATCCCAAAAATCATCACCCACTGCTAAAAGAATTTGAAGTCTGTGATTTATTGCATAAAAGAGCCGACACACTAGAAGAAAAGATATCAATGAGAAAGAAAGACAATAGGAAGAGAAGAGAAAAAGAAAGAAAGAAATAGTTGAAATAGAACCAACATTGAGACAGAAGAACTTGTGAGAATGAACTTGACGGAGAGAGAGTTGGAAGAGGAAGAACAAGAGTTGAGGACTGAAGAAGAGTTTGTCAGTGAAGAGAAGTTGAAAGAGGAGAGAATGAGAATAGTCAAATCTCACCAGGCAGAAGAAGAAGAGATCAGGGATTAGAATGAGAAGGAAATAAGATTGAGATTGATAGTTTGAAGGAGGTGATGTGTGTGTGTAATAGAGATTGAGGTGAATGAGGTAGTAAGGGTTGATGAATGAGATCGGGAAGAAAGGAAGATTAAGAAAATGGAGAATGGGAAATGATCCGAGAGTGTAGAGCCTGTGACAGGTCTGTGAATTTAACAACCGCATCGCAGTTTGAGTCCGTATTTCACGGTCATCTCTGACTATCATGACCAAGTGGGACTTGCTAGGGCCTCACATCATGGGACTGTATAACCCATCTCATGTGAATTTTGTTGGGTTTCACAGTCTTTTTCATTCTGTCTCTGAAGTTGTCTGCTTCCAATCTGTTCATCTTTTTCTGTCATGGGACATATCTGTGACACTCTAGTGTGTAGTCACTCCAGGTCAGCTGTCAGTTCTCAAGTAAGTTCACATCCCTCCTCAAACTGCCTGTCTAGCCTAGGTGAACCTTTCTTTCTTTTCCTTTCCTTTCTCTTTTCTTTTTCTTTCCTTCTTTTGTTATGTTAATGAGTCTAATCGTTCCTCAAACTGTCTGCCTGGCCTAGATTGATTGCAACAAATTTTGCTTGTCATTGCTCTAACTCTGAGTGACAGCTCAACAACACTGCTTGGTGTGGCAGAATAACATCTCAGGTTGCTATTGTCACTTGTTGTATTGAGTGTGTACATACAGACCCAATTTACACAGGCAGTAAAGTGGGTCCCTAGGTGTAAGTTGGAATTTAACTACTCAACATGACCCACTGCATGCAGCCACTATTTGTGTCTAGAGTACCTCCACGAAGGGACTCCTAGGGACTGGAGGACTTCCCATCAAATTCTGTGGGTCCCCCAGTTTTGATTGGGGACCTTGGAAGCTAGAATTCCCTGCAAAAATCTAGACTTTTTTTGGCTCTAAATTGAAAACTGGGAGGGCCCCAGATCCAACGGGAAATCCTCCACTCTTCTGTCAACTTTCCAATCCCCTTTCACATAGCAGCCAGATTGTGAAACTCTACTCCTCAACCTTGATTGATTGCAACTTCACACCACTCATTGCCCAAGTATACAACATCAACCTGTGGTCGTTGGATCATCCAATTATCAACCTTGTAGATCAATCAAGCCTTGAGAACTGGTGAATGGTCAAAGACTTTATCAACAGGATTACACTTTCCACTGACTCGCTCATACCAGTCATTGAATAGATTAGAACCCAGGAAAACCCCTCTAGAGGTGGGTAACCAAAATGTATGAATTTTTGGGGAAATCCCAAAATCATACGCATGAAAGAGGTATGAATCTGCTCAAAAACCTGACATGGTATGCACAAAAATGGTTCAAAATGTACAATTTTTGGCTCAATCTTGAGGAAAGCCTGCCTAATTGACACATCCCCAACTTTTTGGGGGCAATTTTCTCACTTTCTGGTGGATTTTCCTCTCAGCATACGCACGAAAATGGTATGAATGGCTTCCAAAAGTATATCAATTTTTGCAAAACTCTGAGATTTTTGGGTACCCACCTGTATAGGGGGTTTCCTGGGTCCTGATATATTATATACACAGCCTTTTCATTCAGGATTTATGTATTTGAGTGGAAAATTGCTGCGCAAGTCAAACAATTGGCAATCTGACCTGCAGGACGTGGAATAAATTGGCGGCAAAATGACAGGCCCTCCACCGGAACTTCAGTTCAAGCAAGTTCATATAAATCGCATGGGTCAATTCTCTGGAAACCTTCCCTGAACAATTGTCCATCACCAGGCTCACTGGCAATTTGGCGGCTAGCACACCCAAATTCCAAAAAAATCTATCATAATTCAATTGGAGGGGGGCAGAAAAAACTATATTTGCTATCAACTAGTTGGCTTTTCTCGCCCCTTGAAATACCCACTCAACCCGCTTTTCTAATCTAAATCCTTTCATACATGAATTGATTTGGATTGGTGGATTTATATGGCAATCAAAATTTTAAAAAAGTGATTTAATCTATAATCCAAATAGTGGGCCACTGGATCAAAATCAAATTGTACTTCTATGAACCAGGAGTTTAATATTCTAAAACACTCACAGAACATCAGAAAAATTTGATTAGAATAATCTTGATGTATAGGCACTACAAAAATTGTTGAATCACATTTGCAGAATGCACGGTAACATCAAATGTCACATGTAGGGTGGAGAAATGGGCCAGGCTGCCCATGGGCAACCCAGGCCCCCCTTGGCATTGAGGTGGTTGAGGACCCTTTTGGGCAGCTCAGTGGCCCAAATATGACAGCCCAATGGGCCCTTAGTTGAGCCCAACAGGCCCCCTGCACCCATCTAGAGTCTGTGATAGTTCATTGTACCATGTACGGTGATGGACCATGGTTAAATGCCGTAGTACCGTACCTATGCCCTATGCCAATTTATAACTTCTGATCTTAACATCCTGATTCCTGTCATCAACCCATTGTTCTAGTTCCTGAATGTCAACCACCACTAGCTCAACTCCGACTCCAAGTCAAACTCCAGTCAACACCTGGAATGCGGTTCAATCTCAGTCAACAACTTCCAAGAAGCGCCGGATGACAAGTGATGTGTGGGAGCACTTCACTAAAGAGGGTGAGTCATCACTAACAATAACTTGTCACAATATCATTAAGTTTTTTGTGTTTGTTTGTTCCCTGTAGGTACGGGTGATGACACGAAAGCAGTCTGTAAATACTGCCATAACCCCCTTTCTAGTCGTCGGAATTCTGGGACCAATCACCTCCGCCGCCACGTCGAGGGCTGTATGATCAACCTTGGTTTGAAGCCTCCTGACAAGAACCAGTGGAAGTTTTCACCAGAAGTCTCAAGAGATCTTCTTGCAAAAATGATCATTGTTCATGAGTACCCATTTCGGATCGTCGAACATGCCCTCTTCCAGAAATTTGTTGGATCTTTACAACCCGAGTTCAAGATGATCAGTCAAAACACGGTTCGCGATGATTGCTTGAAGATTTACAATCAATTCAGAAACAATATCATTGAAGAGATAGCATCGATCCCCCGCTTAGCCCTCACAACAGACTTGTGGACATCAAACGACCAGACTGGCTACATGGTAGTCACAGCCCACTATATCAACAGTGAATGGTCACTCATCAAGCGAATCATAGGCTTCAAGCCCCTCCCTTCACCTCACACTGGACTAGCGATATCAGAACGGATTTCACAAACTTTATTAGAATACAATTCATTTGAAAAATGTACTTTTGTTACCCTCGACAACGCCTCAGCAAACGACCTTGCCATCAGACAACTCAAGAATCTTATCAATGAACAACGACCAGGGGGCCTTGATGCTGATGGATCATATTTTCACCTGCAATGCGCTGCTCACGTGATCAATCTAGTCGTAAAGGACGGTCTCCAATGCATTCTTTCAAGCATCACTAAACTGCGGAGCTCTGTCAAGTATGTTTGAGGTACACCAGCTAGAAAACATTTGTTTGAAGATGCTGTCAGATCATGTGGAATCACCTCCGACAAGCATCCGGCAGCTGATGTAGCGACACGATGGAACTCAACTTTCTTGATGATAGATTCATCACTTCCGTATAAGCCAGCTTTTGAAAATCTGTCAATGACAGATTCAAGCTACGATTTCTGTCCCAATAGCGAAGAATGGATTGAACTGGGAACTATGAGGGATTTCCTTGGGGTTTTTCACAAAGGTGGGATTTTGAGTTTTTAAACTCACTTATTGAAGATAAATCATTGACTATTTTACACTCTTCACAGCAACCGAGGATCTTTCTGGGACTCATTATCCAACTGCAACACTTCTGTACAGAACAATGACGAAGATCAAGACCCATATTGACCGAGCCCATGAATCTACCATCTCGTCTATCGCACTTATTGCCCATTCGATGAAGGCCAAATTCACAAAATACTGGGAGAAAATGGAACCTTTTGCCTCGATTGCCATTGTTTTGGATCCTCGCTACAAGTTAGAATTTCATCGATTCCATCTCTCTGTTGACCTCAACTTGTCAAAATCC